TACACAAAGGGCAGAGTTCTGTTATGCTTCATGCTGCTCTCACATTACACTGTCTTGGAAGCATCCTCACAAAGGTAAGTGTTTCAATTGGAAATCTTGGAAGCATCCTCACAAAGGTAAGTGTTTCAAGTGGAAAATTTTTGAGTCTGTCACTGTCTTTCCTACTGGGAATATTCTCTGATGTCTTTTGATTTTGATTCCGTATAAGGTTTTGTATCATAACCCCCTGGATGCCACAGGGTATTAGGCTCACTTGAGCTACTTGAAAGACCTTGTCTTCATCTCTGGGTTCATTCTGTAAGTGCATCATTCCCTTTGTCTCTCCATTCATCTCCCTCCCACGTCCAAGCTGGAGGAAGGGACTAAAGATGTTGTTCTTCCTCTCACCTGTTCTGAAAGGCTTCAGGCAGAGTGGCTGGTACTTGGTAGAAAATGAGCCCCACCAACACAGAGAAGAAAGTGCCCAATAGCAGCTGGCCAATGGATGTCTGAGGATTCCTCAGGATGTTCTTCACATTGCGATTGCTCACAGTGTACAGCTAAGGGAATACACGTGCACATAAATTCAGTGTCCTTACTTGCAATTTCCCAGGCTGGTCTATTGGACTGAGGATTCTTTACAACACTGTTTTGAGTCCTAATGTTCCCTTTGGGGTTTCTCCATGCTCAAAACCGCATGTTGCAGTTACCATCCATTCTAGCAAAGGATACTAGCTGCAAATCCCTCTCAGCTGCATTCTTCCATCATCCACAGAGATTTGTTTTGAGTGAAATGATGCTCAACCTCACCCCCAGATGCTAAATAAGACTGATCACTCCCAAGCTGTGCCTGCTCTAGTTGACTAGAACTCTGACTTGCACCCACACATCCTGCATGGCAGGTGCACAACAATATCCACAAGGCCACAGCCTCAGACTGGGAGACATGCACTTTTTGAAATGAAGTAGTGGGACTTCCAAGGCTCCCATTGAAGATTATGTGCAGCTGTAGCAAAGGAGCCTGCTTCTAGTGGAGAATATAATGTTTTGGAAAAACTGAGCATCAATCTCACTTTTGTGAAGATGGCTTCTTGTGACAGGGCCCCGCAACCCCGCACTGAACCCCCCGCGGCGAGGGAGCGCGCACCGGCATTGTGCTGGCTGTACTCGCGCCGCGGACCAGCTGACCGCCTCAGCGGCGGCGGCACAGACGCTGCGGGACAGGTGGAGTCAGCTGGTGACGTCAGGAGCACGTCACCCTCCGGCGCTGGGCGCGGTGGGAGTTTTAAATGCCACCCTGGGCGGGGCGAGAGTAATCCCCTCTTGGCTGCGGAAAGCAGGACTTGGCGGACCGCCGTGGAGCAACGGGGTCTGGAAGGTCATCCGGAGAGATGAGAGGTGTGGAGCAACGGGGTCTGGAAGGTCATCCGGAGAGACGAGAGGTGGACCCACGGAGGGCCGTGTAAGCCAGCAGCAGTGGAAGGGGGGGGGTAACAGAACGGAGAGGAAACAGGGGAGGGCCATACAAAAGCCCTTCACTTGGGCAGGTTTCGGGAGGACACCCCTGCCAACCGGACCCGGACCGAAGCTGGTCCGTGTCCTTTAGGGCCCTGGGCTGGGGCCTGGGAGTGAGGGTGGGCCTGGGCCACCTGTACCCCCTCTTGGCATAACTGAGAAAGAACGAAGGCCCCAGAAGGGGTAAAGCCCAGGCTGTGTGGGCACTGTTGGAGGACAGTGTCCTGAATTGGATAGTATCGCCGCCAGCAGAGCCAATTCCCCAAAGCTGACGACGAGCGACGCTGTGGGGGCGGACGGGACCCCTACACTTCTAAACCAGAAACAGGCAAATGTCTGTGAAACAGTCTGTCCATTGCCTGCAGCAATTATCCATTCACCTTTACTCTGGGACAATCCCAAACCATTCAACACCTATATATTTTACTTATGTACATCCTGGTATCTATTCTTATTTAAAAATACTTCAGTTACCTTCAGTAATAGTTCAGTGGACTATAGCAACTGTAAACTGCAGTATTCTGGGTTATTACTATAGAATATGGCAAGGGTTTTTTGTGAACTGATTTCTAATACTTAATTTTCTGATACTTAGGCTTTTAAAACACCCCTTGTCTCTGTTGATATGTCATTTTGGTAGGATGAGAAGTGTAAAGGTTAGGAATTAGGATTATCTCTGCAAGCCAGACAACGCTGCCTCATTTTCAAAGACTGTAATGGCACTAGAATGAGTTCTGCAGATCATCATTTGTTCACACATTTGCTTACACAGAATTACATTTGCAATCACAGAGAGATGGTGTATTTGATCCTTCTTATGATTAAAAAAATTAACACCATGCTCTCGGTGTTACATTCTTTGCAACTCCTGCCTGAGAGAGACATCATTGTCAAAGGTAAACAGTCAATTTCTGATTTTGATTTTAATCCTTCCTTCTCCCTCTCCCCCACCCATTCAGTGAACTGGGTCACTTTGTAAGATCCATACCATTAAATATAAACCCCCTCAAGGCCTGATCCTTAGGTGGTGTATATCAGCATAGTGGCCTGGACTTTAAAGGAGTGACGCCAGTTCATACCAGCAGAGGGTCTGATTCATGTTGGATAACATAATTTCTGTATCTCTGAAAAAGCTTATTTTGTTCTGTCTGTTATTTACCTGCCTTCACTTGTTCCTTAATTTTACCGTTTATTTTGAATGATGAACAATAGAAATTCTTCCCCAGCATGACAGCAAAAATAGCTACTTCTTCACTGTACACTGCTGCCTCAAATTGCTCAAGGGTAACCTTCTGAGGTGAGTACCTGGGGATATGCTTTCCTATAGGAAAAGCAGGGTTAGGTTTCTCATGAAGGGAGAAATTCAGCTCTGTAGCTGTGGAGGTTCCCTGGCAGTGGAACCTGTGCAAGTCTGTGGCAGAAGGGGATTAAATATGGGTGGAGTCTAGTGTGACACACAGCCCAGATCCATTGGGCCTCCCGGCCCAGCACAGTGTCAGGGGTAGATCTTAAGGCACTGCTGTGTTAACCCTGTGGTTTGCTTTCCGTAGAGCAGTGGTTCCCAAGTGCTGGTCTGCAAACTGCTGGTTGCCTGGCCACGGTGGCCCTGAGGGCCAGGACTGGGATACACTGCCCAGCGCCTCTCCCCCTGCTGCGGCTGGTGGGGGGGGGGTGA